TGATCATGTATTGTGTTATATTATATTTCTGGAAAATTTAAAGGGTAGTTATATAATAATTTTGGACGATCTCGGGCAGTCAGATACTTATGACCGCTACTGTACGATGCAGTCAGTTAACCATATTAGCTGTTAAATATAGAAGAAGCTCATTAACTATAACAGCAATACCAGAGACTAATGTTTAACCTTCTGAAGGTAGAAAATATTGTAAGGATATAAATATAAAATAAAGTAGGCAAATTTATATCTTATATAAATTATATAAAAAGACACTCGAGAAAGTCATATAGATTCAGAATCAGATTAAGTTGTAAATAAGAAAAAGAAAAAAATTGACCTAAGTGAAAAGTTCTTCAATATAAATAAAAAATTCCTAATAAAACCTGATATTATTCTCTTTTATACTATTGTCAAATCATAACATAATTAACATAATTACAATTTTTTGTTATATACTATAGGAAGGTTATACCTCAGTTTGCAATAAATTCTTTTCAGATAATATGTGACCAGTCTTTAAAGATTTTAAGGTAGAACTCAAAAATTGACTAAATCAATATTATCTTAATTATCTTTGTGAGATAGGCTACAGAGAATGAATGAACAAATTTTCAGGACATCATCATTTTATGATATTTATTATTAATAAATAATCATTATATTTAATTTAAAATTTTAATAATTGTTTAATAATCATTAATAATTATTATGTTTAATTTGAATTTTTCAATTAATATTGTGAATTTTTTATTTTTTTTATAGCTTATATGTAAAATAAAAGACATGAGAGGAGTAAACGTCACTGCAGTAAAAATTGCAATTTTTAAAGAATTTAGTCTACAATCAATAAGTAGTAATTATAGACAAAAAGCTATTAAGATATAGCGATTTGGAAAAATTCATCACGAGTTAAAGAGTATTATAATAAATTATATGATGATGATAATGTAATCAAAAATATAACAAAACTCACATTTTTCTTATTATCTGATACTAATGAGACATTTCAAAATATATATATTTATATATTAGCGATATATAATATAATATTAAATTCTAACTACTCTGATATAGAGTGTAAAAAAAACTCTAGAGTGATGATATCAGAAATTTAAGGTATATGATTTATTATTTAAAATTAAATTTATATAATTTAAAATCTAATTGAATTTATATTTTATTAGGATTTATTCAAGAAAAAAGAAGGTTTTATTATACATGATATGTAGGAGATATTGAGAGAAAAAATTTCAGGAATCTTAAAAAAAGAGACTTTTGAAAAAGAGAAAGAAATAGAAGTGCTTATAGGTGATAATACATTAATAATATTACATGATAATGATAATTAGTAGCAATTATTTAGAAAATGACATTTTATAATTAATTATAATTATTATTATGAAATTTATTAATATAAATAAATAAATAAATAATGGATGTATTCACAAATTCAATTATATTGGATTGGATTGGATTTTCTAATCCATTTAGATTAGATTGGATTTTCATGTAATCTAATCTGTGTTTACAAATAAATGGATCAGATTATGAATTTTGTATAACATTATAAAAAAAGAGTTAACGTTATTTAAATTAAATAAAAATTTGAACAATGAATATTCAAAGACA